TTTAATATTATAAAGATTTGAACTTTTGATATTAACACCAGATTAAGATTTTTAAATTAGTGAGTAGTGAGATGAACAAATTTTAATGTATTACATTTTTTATTTGAGGAAAAAGTACAATTAGACGAGTAGAAGGAGAGATATGGAATAAGAATTTCCATAAGGGGAATCTCATGGTGCAAAAAAATTATTAAAGGCGAAAATGTCCTTTTCCAAGTTTTGTGAATGGTTGTGTGTGAAAGAAGAAGAAATTTGAGTGTGGTGGGACCAAAAATTGAAGAAGGGATTCTCTCAATCGGGGGCTGGGAATGGAGTTAGGGTTCTTCCTCTTACTGTCTTTTTGGGTATTTTTCTAACATTGCCTAACTCTCTTTTACCTTGGAATCAATTTTCTTCCCTTTTTTAAATAGAATGCAAAAGTGAATACAAGTTAGAATAACTGAGGCAACATTGCTTCTAGAAAATTACAATTAATTAACTAATGTTGCATATTAAGATTCTATAGCTGCTATTAATATAAGAAACTATATATAAATTTTCTGTCATGAATTGATGGGACTCCTAATTATTTAATTTATGTCAATGGCATAGGGCATCCTGTAGAAAATAGTTCACGATTAAAGATACCAAATTCTTTGAATGTAATTTCTTTGTAATTTTGTAGGGTTCTTGATCACGTAATATGGTTTAGATGCGCCCAAGGCAAATGATTGATTTCAAAGCTTGAAACTTTAAAGTAGATATTAAATTTAATTAAATCTTGAGACGTGTTAAAAGACTTAGAAAAAAAAAAAGATAATTTTCCGTTGTATATAGAATTCATTCATCAAATTGGTTGTTTGCTGTTCAAAAAAAAAAAAAAAAAAATCATTCATCAAATATGGTTCATTAAAAAATATAGAGAAATGTATTTGTTAGTTAAATTTATAAAAAATTACGAGAAAAAAATATTCTAAAACTACATGATTTTAATAAATTTTTATTAAAAAACTAAACTAATTTATTTTTAAATGAATTTGTTTTGGTTTTTTCCTATAGTGGTTTAATAAATTCCTCCAAATTTTTTTAAAGTTCAACTATTAAGGTTCAATTGACAAACACTAATTTTTTTAAAGTTCAGTTGATGAATACTAATCTTAAAAATATATGTTGCTTCTGATTATTTTGTTCCAATTTTTTTCCTAACTGGGAACTTCACGAAGAAGCTATGGCTTTCACTAAACATTCAATTTTATATTTTTCCTACGCGTAGGTAATATACCTATAGGAATATTGTCTGGAAAAGGATTTAACTAGATCCATGTTATGCATTCTTTTATACTATATCACCAACCATGTTGTGGTTCAGTATACAAAATTCCTTCATATAATATTACTTTTTTTTATCAGCAATATTTATATGATCAGATATTAATGTAAATCGATCACTTTTTTAGTCTAATGGTATTCTAATAATATTTTCCTTTTTGAAAGCTGCACCTCATATTAAGTTTGTGCATTTAAAAAAATTAATTTCATTTAGAGGTTGCTCAAAGAAGTGAATTCTAGATTAAATTTATGAGATGACACTTGTTTACATGAATCTAACTTTAGATTTATTGATCAACCAATCTTATTTTAATTTTTATGCCCATTTTATTTTATACTATTACACTTTCTTTTAGAAAGTCTTGATTGACACACAATTTTTACTAGTATTTTTCTAAGGTATATCTAGTTTCAAGAAAGTAAAAGGAAATGAATTACAAGTCTTAGTTTTGATTGAGAGAAAAAATTTTCTCTCCATTCAGTTTCACTCAAAACCAAACATACCTTAAGTCACATACAGATTCCCCTTCTTTTTTTTTTTTTTTTTTTTTTTTGTTTTGGGTGAAAGTCACATACAAATTCAAGATGGATATTTTCTTCTCTTTTTTACGCAAGGAAAGTGTCCCTTAATTTTGGGTTCTTAATGAAATTAGATTTCTACTCTACAAAAAGAAGCCAAATATATGTCCATGGAGATCAAGCCAGGCAAAGTAGCAAACAGCTTTAAAGTGTGTAAAGCAAATGCTGGATTTTGGCACCCAAATGAACCCAACAAAACTAATGGTGAAGGCGTGGGAGTGTAGGCCTTTAGGACACACCCAATATATCTCTTTTCACAGCATCTGGGTCTCGCCAATGTCACCTCCTTATGGTCCTCCTGATGCAGACTTAACCCTAACAAAGCCAGCAGAACCATTGCCCTCCCTTCCTACTTCACATGACAGAGATATTATTTGTCATCTTCTTTAAAATTCCTGTCAATTAATCTTTATATTGAAGAACCATACATACACATTGATTTTCCAAGCTTCTTCCCTTCAAGAAAAATTCACACTTGAATACAAACTTAAATTATGGGTTCAATCCCTCGTAATCTTCATGGACCACCATAGAATTTTCCAACCTCTTTCCATTAAAAAATTCAATGAGTCGGTCGATGGTGTGATGCCTTTCATTTACATATAATATATACCAAACATCCATTTTCAGGTGAACAACTTATTGAAATGACTTTTAAAAAATGCAATTCTTTTGAGAAAATTACATATTCTTGATTACAACATCAATTTAACGTAACAGACACGCATATAAATTAACTTTTGCATTCACATAGACGTTTTGAGTTTTCTCAATTACATACATACAAATGAAACATTCTTGATCATTCTAGCTAGTTTTGTTGTGTAGATAAAATTCTAAGCTGAGAAAGCAACCCAACATGTGGATTACTTACGGAAAGAATATAGACATAATGAAAAATTCTCTCTTTTGTGCAGCAAGGTAGTTCGGTGACATAGAAAATTTGAAGTGGCATCATTGAAGTCTTTCCACCCCACATTTAGGGTTTCCATGTCAGACAGACAAGGATGATTCTCTGATATCCACCAATCTACTTTGAAGTTCCACGACATGCCACATCAGGTTTTCCTTTTGTCCTTTTTCCCTGGCAGCTATTGAAAGAATATCAATTTTGGAGACCCCAAATTGGATTACTTTTCTCAAAATGTTTTGCTTTTGAAACTCTAAAATTAAAAGGGAGGAAAGAATCATTGAAGAAGAAGCTGATGAAAGCTATCTTTCAAATCATTCCATGCTACAAACCCATGTGGGCATTGTCTCTTAGTGAAATTAGACGAATTTTTCTTTTGAGAACAAGTTGTATGTTTTACCAAACATGGGGCAGTTTCTACCATCTTTTTGTTTCTCAAATGCAAAAGCCTTTTCCATATTAACCTCTTCTTTTTATTGAATAAATTTAAAGACCCATCTAAATCACTAAAAAAGAATTTGTTAGGTTTCCTCAAAAAATAGTTCCAAGATTTATTGATCTAGGGTTTATGTCACCATGATCACAAAATTACGTACTATATATATGATCGATTATTAATGTCCAATTTCTATATGAAGCACTAAGTATCCTCTTAATATATACTTAATTTGGTTATCATGAATACAAAGAATATACTATATACATATATATATATATATATATGTATATAGTTAATTAAGAAATATTGAATTAAGACACTTTAAATATTTCTCTCTTATACTAATTAAGTGGGATTTGTGAATGTGATGCCTTGATACTTAGAAGATAATTTGAGTACTATCCAAGAAATTATTAATTCGTATTGTCAAATAGAATCTAAATAAAAAGAAATATTGGCACATAGTATCTCCAAAATTAAAATAAACATGGCCCCTAGCCTTTATTGTGTGTTCCATGAACTTATTCTCCATACGTACTAATTTATTTATAAAGGAAAAAACATCATTGGAGTTTTTAAAGATTGAGTATATTCCTCAATGGGTATTTGTAATGGAGATCAATTTTTAATCTAGAGGGAGTGTTTTTAGTATTAATGGAACAAAATTAAAGAGCTATCAAAGAATGATTTTGTTTGTCTATTTTAAGATTTCGTACCCAACTTTGATTAAGAATAAAGTGTCAGGACACTTGGAAAGTAGGATCAATTCCCTCTTAAGAACATCTATTAACAGGGTGGGGGGGAGGTTTGCAATCTTGATAATATTCCATTTTATTTATTGATAGTCACATGATGTTAAGAAAGTATCGTAGAACTAGACAAAAGAGGCCGCCATGAATCTGTAAAACTTACCTCGTGAAATGTTTACGTAATAATTGCCCGTTATCTTGTTAAAATACATCTTGTACTCCGTAATGGTTAATTTTGATAATTTAATAAATTATTAATATTACATAAATTTTTTATTTTTTATTTTTTATTTATAAACAAGTTAGATATGGTATTAACAATATTAGTGTATAAATTAAGTTTTTAACATTTAATGTTTGTTATTTTAATTTATTAATATATAAATAATAAATAATTTATTATTTATTAATTTATAATTATAATTATTAATTATTATTATTTTTTGAATAGATTTTATAAAGGGTTGGGTTTAAACCCAGCTATGAGTAGGAGGAAATGCACCATGAGTGGTTATTGTCACTTGACTCAAAAGGTTTGACGTAATTATTAATTATTTTTAAATGTTAAATTAGACAAAATTAACATTTTACTAAACAAAATTTAAAAATTCGATGCTCATGACGGCTATAACCCCCTTTACTCTGAATAAAAATTTCAACTTTCCGAACAAGAAACAGACGGATCTAATCAATTTCGAGAAATGACAGGTAAGTTCCAATGACACAAAAATCTGTGCCAACAAGATATTTTGATGTGAAGATATTTTGATATGATAGAAAGGGATAAGACCTGCTACAATTTTGAGGTTGTGAGTCTGAGTTTTGGCCGTTTATGCGAGGTTAATCTAATTTTTTTTTTTTTATTTGAACAGAGGGGAATTTTTAGGGAAAAGAGATTGTAGGACTTGTAATTAGAACTCAAGTCAATATGTTCATCGCACTCTTGAAAGAGGGTGATCACTATGCCACTAAGGATTGGACTAATCTAAATTTTTTTAGGTTGTTATTTATTATTAATTATTACTATCATAATTTAACTTAGAGAGGATTGAATTATGCACCACTTTAAAAATAAAGG